CATCCAGTTACTGCCAGCTGCTTTGCGCAGATCGTCACTCCATCTAGCAGGAGGGCGTCCTACACTACGTTTGCCGGTTCGCGGTCTCCACTCCAGAACACGTCTACCCCAACGGTTATCGGTTCTGCGACATATGTGACCAGCCCACTGCCACTTCAGCTTACTAACTCTGCGAGCTATATCGATTTCAACTTTACCACGGGGTAAACATGTGGTATTCTATTTCAGGACCAAAGAAGGTGAGGTGTTGCGGTATTACGCCAGGCCTATGGCGCTCCAGCAACGACAGTTCCCTCTGTGGCCAGTCACTATAGTCCACATTATTGATGCCGGCAGCCCTCTATATGAGTATACTCCAGAAGCTCTGGCGAATAGCAGGTTGGTGTATTTAATTACTGCCCTCTGGTAATGTCGGACAGCAATGTACTCTAAATAGGAACAGCAGTGAGAATATTTTGGTCGATTGGATTGATTGAGTTAAAAATATATAAAACTAGCGGCCCGCTCCGGCTCCTCTCGGGTCTTTAACAAAAATTTCAACGACNAGTGAGAATATTTTGGTCGATTGGATTGATTGAGTTAAAAATATATAAAACTAGCGGCCCGCTCCGGCTCCTCTCGGGTCTTTAACAAAAATTTCAACGACCTTGTTTTATTTTTTTAAATAAAAGAACACTTATTGCGGCATAGCTATAAGTATAATAGTTAGACATATGCTGTTGCGACACTTTTTGTAAATAATAATGTGTTCTACAAAGTCGTAGTACATTATTTTATTCTATCATCAATAGTTTTCGCAGCGCACGCGATGTAAAGAATATTTTAGGTATTTTTTTTACACCTTGGGTTACATTATTGGAGTTTTAGTAAGGATCCCTAATTTTTTTCAAAAAAGATTATAACCTTTGTCACTCGGGAATAGTGTAGCTTCCAAACAGTGAAAGAATTTTTCAAATCGGTTCAGTAGTTACGGAGCCTATTCAATACAAACAAACTAACAAATTTTTCCCCTTTATAATATTAGTATAGAAGTATAGATTGCTATTTTCTTTCTTAGTTTGATAACACCACAAAATACCACACCACAAAATGTTCAGGCCAGCGCCTTCAATTATTTTAGAGCAATACCAAAGATGCTAGGTTTCTAAGGCGCTAAGTATCACAGCTTAATAAGTTAATGTATTTCACCATCATTCACTACCCGCTCTTCAAGCACGCTGTACATCTCCATTAAAATATACCACAATAATATCAAGAGCTGGAGTTTTATTACCACGAGAAACTCCCTTATGTACCACAAGCCGGTACACCTTTGTCACTCGGGAATAGTGTAGCTTCCAAACAGTGAAAGAATTTTTCAAATCGGTTCAGTAGTTACGGAGCCTATTCAATACAAACAAACAAACAAAATTTTCCCCTTTATAATATTAGTATAGAAGTATAGATTGCTATTTTCTTTCTTAGTTTGATAACACCACAAAATACAAACCTACACTGTGGATGCTGAGTTGAACTTTTCGTGTTTTCTTTCAGTTATGAGATTACTTTGAGCCTGAAGGGGGCATCAGCATCAATGGGAACATTTACACAGAGTCAAACGTCTTATCTGCCACGGGAGGTCGTGTGGGGGCATAGATTCAAACCAGTTGTCAGGCAAGTCAAGCTTGTTTTTTGTCGAAAGGATCTTAATAATGATAGTTTTTCAGCCCACTGCTGAGGAGACAAAGGTATAATACGACAATGATCTCTTTTAGCAAATATTTTATTTATTATTCTAGATGAGCTCATAAATTTAAATCTCAGCCGGTGCTGTGTGCTTACTGAAGTCCATAGACATCAACAATGATGGTCAGCATTGCGGAACTTACCTTTTGGCTAACAATACGCGTTGCCGCCAATTTTTATTACGCAAATTCCACAGGCTTACAGTTTTTTTTTTATCACAGGATGTTGCTCATAAGCTCGTGTTTAGTATTTTCTTAGAAAAATTAATAAATAATTTCTTGCTGGTTGCCAATAGATGGCGGTAGCAATAAGTGAGAGATGGGAAAAGTTGTGGCTTGTAATAGGCAATACTTTAAAATTAAATGATTCACGTAAAAGCATTTTCACCATAAAGTAGTATTGACATCAAAAAACCCCCAAGAGTTTGATTGAGATGCTTATGGTGACTGCCAGCATAGTTTGAGCACCGACATTTTCGTTCTTTCGACACGATCACACAGGGCGCTTTACTCATTAGTAAGACCGTTTCAAAGCTCACTAATTACTCTCCTTAAATGACAATCCCTAATAGATATGACGGCAGAAAGCAGAAGTACGTGATTGAAGAGAAGAAACTGGATGCGACAGAGCCTGTTGATACTCCCTACTGTAGTGCCAAGGAATTACACAGGTAAATAAACATGCAAGGGTTTTTGTTAGAGACGTTGCTTATTTAGTAATTAATCTTTTTCCCCCTACCTAATCGATGGTAGTCTATGGGGCTACTAAGTACGGACTGCGTTTTATTTTTAAATACATTATCAACACAAACTTAAATTAAAAGAACTTACTGACCAGTTACATTTTAACAAAAAACTTATAGACGGAAATAGCTGGACCCGTTCGCTTCGCTGGGCATTTAAAATTAACATTATTATTTCTCACCCCCACAAAGATTCTCATCATTAACGCGCCCGCAACTGGTGTAGGGTGTCCAGCACTCAGATAAATATTAGCCTATCCATTAAGTACATGTATTTTCTACATGGATACCAAGTTTCAAGTCAATCGGATGCATGGTTCAGTAGTTATAACGGAACATCCGCAAAAAGCACTGTAGATTTATATATTAGTATAGATTAGAAAAACTTTAGGCATAAATAGTGAAATCTTGTAAGAAAATATTATTGCGAAAAACAAAATTAAATACGAACTAAAGTATTTAAATAAAGACAACAATAAAAAAATCTCTCTAAAACTTGTTCTTTCTGCAGTTCGAATCATCGTAGGGCCCGAATTGGGATTGGGAATTTACTTTCTGATAAGCAGACGAGTCTACAGTCCGAAATTGAGTGATTATACATAGACGACACGACATAACACGGTGTTAATCCGGTCACCCAAGAGTTTGAAGCATCTATCTTTATTCTAGTAGAAATAGGCCGCACAGTTACACATCTTCTTCTTCTTTTTCTTCACCTTATCCTACTAAGTGGGGTCGGCACGGCAATTTTTTCTCTTCCATTCTCTTCTATCAGCTGCCATCTCAACACTCACTCCTCTCTCTCTAATATCATCATTCACACACTCCACCCATTTCTTCTTTGATCGACCTATTCTCCCTGTAGCTTGCACTACCATTTCCATACATCTCCTAGTCACATGCATCTCAGTATCATTAAGCATAGTGTACTCAAATTCAATTTAACTATACGCATCAGTAAGGGTTTGTGAATGCATGTAGGTCCGTGTTATCGTCACCTCGTCAGAAGGCAGTCACAAAGTGTCCTTCGATTTTCACTAAATTAACGAAAACAAAATTATCTCATTCCAGTACATCGAAGGATAGCTGCTCGACCCCGCGCCCGTGTACTCCAAGCTCTTTCTGCGAAAAGATCTCTGCATTCCAACTAGAAAGATCATCGTCTTTCAGAAAGAAGACCACGGCATCATGATATTTAGCGATAACTAGTTTCTGTTCAGTGTGAGAAAAGAGATATTCGATAGTATTTTCTATGATCGTTCACAACGCACATTGTGAACGATCATAGGTAGGGTAGCTTGTGGCTTCCCACGGGTCACTATTACCATTATCAAATACACACTATGGATCAAATTACCTTATAATTTTGTGATGCGATCATATTTCACCTTTGACTTGGAATTACTGGTGGTAAGACCTCTTGTGAGTCCGCACGGGTAGATAACACCAACCTACCTATTTCTACCGTCAAGCAGTAATGCGTTGAAGGGTGGGGCAGCCGTTGTACTATAAAAACTGAGACTTTAGAGCTCATGTCCCAAGGTAATTGACGGCATTTACTTTGTAGATATCTATAGGCTCCGGTAATCACTTAACATCGGATGGGTCGTGAGCTCATCCACCCACACAAGCAATTAAAAAAAAAAAACAAAAAAACAACCAATAAGTAATTAAATTATACTTAATTGTTCATTTCCTCTTAATATATCTGTGAAGATTCTCAATTATCTGCCTGTTTATAAATAAAATGTTTGCTTGATGAAAAAGTGATGTTCTCATTAACCGCACACAATATGACCCACAGCTATGACCGTTATTAGTTGTAAGTTAGAGGCGTAGCACATAAATCTATGTTTTGTTTTTCATCAATTTATAAAACATGTATACATAAGTACGATGAATTATTGATCAGCTTACACTTTATTTGCCATCGATTTTATTAACGACTAGCTGACCCGGCAGACTTCGTAGTGCCTCAATCGATAAATAAAATAAACTTAAAACAAACAAAAAGAAACCGTCCGACGGGGGACACATCAAAGGAAAAACAAAATTGTTATTTTTATTTCATTTCGGGCATTTTCATATTTATCTACCTTTTAAACTTTCTCTGGATTTCCACAAATAATTCAAGACCAAAATTAGCCTAATCGGTCCAGCCGTTCTCGAGTTTTAGCGAGACTAACGAACAGCAATTCATTTTTATATATATAGATGACGGCTGCATTTAAACAAATGCCCAACTACTAGTGTACATTACTGAAACTCAAAAAATATACCGAGTAGATGGATGTCAATGCTCCATCAAGATTCTAGGCCATCATTCCATCAAAACAGGAGTATGTGTATTTACTTCTTATCTGTTAGGATAAAGGTGTGAACCTTATCTTGAAGATAACGTTTTGTCAACGATTTACAATCTTTGGACGCGTTTCCATTCAAAGTATTGAGGAGGTAACAAGTGATTTTAGATTATTTTGAAAAAGAAAACATTGTATTAAATGAATAACAGTGGCGGTGTGCTCGTGTGAAAATGATCATCGGCGCTTGATATAACAATAATATCGTCCACATAAACAAGATGAACATTGAGCCCGAACGCAGAGGCAGCAGGAGCCGAGCTTTGGAAAGGTCCTTGAGCTACTCAGAGGCTATCCGAGGAGGATCGGGAAGATCATCAATAGAGATCCCAAATATAGTCGACACGGATGTTTACAGCAACGAAGAATTAAAGAAGCATTACCGAATATCCCAGACCTATGTCGAAGGTAGAGAAATAACATTTCCCTCCACCATCACCAATGTTGACACATCTCCGCAGGTCAACGTAAATGCTATCGCATCATCACAGTATTCCAGTGAAGATGAGACTACGGATTCTGGTTTAGTAATGACTATAGATGTTGAAGACACTACTAAGACATCGGAAGTAACTAAGCCTTTGTCGGACGTGACTCATACTGTTGTGAGTTCGATCCCTATTGATATTTATGATAGGATTGAAGTTGCCGAAAGTATTTTTGATGGAAACGATACGATTGGACCATCGGCCGCCGGGTATGCTACGCCATATAGCAGACGGAAACGAAGTGGGAAGAGACGAAGGTAATTTTACTAATAGTACTGGATAATTTAAATTAAATTTTAGGATGGGTTTGTATCCCAATTTGACATCTGCAAAAAAGCATCCTATTGTTCAATCTATGTTAGGTTTGTGTCAATTTTAAGTTACATGATTTGTGACTGATTTAAGCAACGCCAATTAGTATACCAGGAGCTGGGGCGTCCTCCAACTAGGTGGACTGACGACTAGTGCGCACGGCGGGAAGTCGTTGGATGCGGAAGGCGGAGGATCGCATTATGTAGAAGGCATTGGGGAAGGCCTATGTCCAGCAGTGGGCAGATAAAGACTGATGCTGATGATTATGAAATTAGTATACCTTCTGGGTTTATTATCTTAGTTCCTCATTGAAGTCTTTCGTTGATGTTCTAAATGCGTGTTTCTTCAAAAAGATTGCTAATTTCCTGCAGGATTTAAAAATGGGAAAATAGCTCTTATATCTTGTACCTTTATGTTTTAAATTACAATTTAGGTTCATATTGACATATTTTCGATGAACTTTATCTGGTAAATGAGCTAACAGCCCACCTGATGGTAAGTGGTTAATATCACTCATGGACGTCAGCAACACCGGGGACATAGACAAGCCGCTGCCTACTGCTAAGTTAATTTGGCAAATCACGGTATAAAACATAGTGGTATCGACATCTTAAATTTTTTGACAGCTCCAAAAGCTATTTTACAAATCAATATTTATTATTTCTACTGAATTTATCTTATCCGAATTCTTTGTAAGTTCTTATCAAACGTGAGTAAGTTTCATGCGCGTTTTTTTTCCTGTAATTTTTAATTTAATTTAAGACCTCATTTTATTTTTAAAATATGATTTTAAGCTTTTTAATACAGTTTCATAGTTCAGAAAGATCAAAAAATAATATGAAACGTTTTTAATTCTGAATGATAAAGTTACTGTACCTACAACAACTGGTGGAGGAGCATCTGAACCCTAGCTACAAGTTATTTATACAGTACTAGCTGACCCGGCAGACTTCGTAGTGCCCCGATCGATAAATAAAAGACCTAAACTTTTGTGTAAAATAAACTTAAAACAAACAGAAGGAATCCGTCCGACGGGGGACACATCAAAGGAAAAACAAAATTGTTATTTTTATTTAATTCCGAGCATTTTCATATTTGTCTACCTTTTAAACCTTCTATAGACTTCCACAAATAATTCAAGACCAAAATTAGCCAAATCGGTCCAGCCGTTCTCAAGTTTTAGCGAGACTAATGAACAGCAACTCATTTATATATATATATAGATAAGTGCTAAAGTATTCATTTTTCTTGAATACTGCAAATAAAACTTCACCTTAATCCTTCACAGAAGGAGAGGGCAATGTTATCCTAATAATTGAGTCGACTATTATCAAAGCCGGCAATCTGACTTTTGGACAATGATTGGTAAATCAGAAAAACGAATTATTGACTTTGTATTCCATTGGCAGTCACAAAACTCTTCGGAACGACATCTTAGATAAATAACAGGTTAACTATTAACCTTTATTTAATGCAGGTTTTGAACCGTATTCTTTGAAGGAGACGATTATATTCAAATCAATCTGTATTGACATATCAATAAATTTTTTTTGTCCAAATGCGCAGATTGCCACCTTTGATAATAGACGACTCAATTATAATGTCTAGTAATACCATCCGATCGAAATACGCCTTCAAAATATCTATATATTAGTACGTGAAGCAAAAACTTTGTACCCCTTTTTACAAAAATTGCACGGACGCAGTAGTATGAATTTTTTTACACTTATAGAGAATGTAGAGAAGATGTGCAGAATACTAATATTTTTTTCAAATTATGGATTAAAAATACGTTAAATCAATAAAGAAAACATTACACACACTACCATGTATTTGACACACACACATATACTCTTTGTTTATTGTCAAACTTTTGTTATTGCTTTAAATCTGTAGTCAAATTGAGAATAGGTTAATATTGTTTATCTTTAATATTACGCATTTAATTTGTGTATAGTGTAGTCTTGGCGAAATCTGTAACAATAGAACAATAATAATGTTGAAACTTATAATTAGTCGGACTTCAACTACTACGGGGCCACTAATTAAAATAAAGATCCGTACCAAAGCATCATTTCGCTGCCATAAAAGTAAATGCCATATGCTTCAAATGCCTTCAATTACGATGCTACAGGAGACCAGGTCGTCCCACGCGTTCCAGGAGAGCTGTCTACAAGAACGGAGATGAGAATGTACCGGTCCGGAGTAACATACCCGCTAAGTCCATCAAATACATGCGGGATTTGGTGAATACTGTCGTAAGTATACCTACACGGAACCAGCAAATATTACGCCATGTAATGATCGAAAGTGCTCTACCAATTGAGAGGCTCTACCGATTAAGGATACCGAAGCTGATCGGTATACCCAAAACGGGCATGAAATCTATGATTCAAGTCTGTTTTATACTTATTTATTTAGACACACCAACAGCTATACACACAAAACATTCAAGCTTAAAATTAACAATATGTATTAAATTAAGTACTGGTATGTAAGCCAAGTACAGGCATGTACAGCAATCTCTTATAACCAGCTTATAACACACTATGACACGTCGAACCCGTCACCGTCCTCGTCGAACCCGTCGCTTGCGACGAAGGGCCCGACGAGCGAATGAACCCACAGACACAGCCCACTGAGTTTCTCGCCGGATCTTCTCAGTGGGTCGCGTTTCCGATCCGGTGGTAGATTCTGCGAAGCACTGCTCTTGCTAGGGTCAGTGTTAGCAACTCTCCGGTTGAGCCCCGTGAGCTCACCTACAAACGTTAGGGCGAAGCTGAAATAGTCTCTCAAGGCTATCAGCATAGGTAGGAAAAAAAAAAGACATGTTACAGCAATTTTACAGACAGCGGAAAAATAGGTTAAATTTGAATGTTAACAGTACGACATAAAAAAAATTTTTTTTTATTTTATTTTATTTTTTTATTGCCCTTGCAGGCAGACGAGCATACGGCCCACCTGATGGTGAGTGGTTACCGTCGCCCATGGACTTCAGCAATGCCAGGGGCAGAGCCAAGCCGCTGCCTACCGTGAAAAGAACATGAAAACAAGAGTTAACTACTTAACATTATCTCATCAATTATAAGCAAAGGAACTTGGATACTAGTTTGTTTTTGAGACCAGGACACGTGTCGTTAAAAATGTCGATGCCGTCAATTAATTAATGCACATATTTGGTTATATTCATTACAAATCTTTGATAAAGGAGACTAGCTTATGCTGACTATCCCCACACAAATTTTTTCACTACAATGTCTATTGGTTCTGAGAGCAACATTTACACTAATTTGGCCATAAGCTAGTCCACGCTTTTGTGGCCGTTGTAGGTAGACGATCGCACAGCTCACCTAATGGCGAGTACTCACCGTCATGGAAATCAATATCACCAGGAGCTCAGCCAAGCCACTGTTTACTACTGAGGACTCTCCGCAAACCTCGTTTGAAGAAGGAAATGTCATAGCGCTCGGGAAATATCACATTTAAGAGCCAGATGATACGTTTTTTTTTAATGCTTAGATGGGTGGATGAGCTCACAGCCCACCTGGTGTTAAGTAGTTACTGGAGCCCGTAGACATCTACAACATAAATGCGCCACCCACCTTGAGATATAAGTTCTAAAGTCTCAAGTGTAGTTACAATGGCTGCCCCCCCCCCCTTCAAACTGAAAGGCATTGCTGCTTCACGGCTGAAATAGGCAGGGTGGTGGTACCCACTTGCTAGGACCGACAAGAGGTCCTACCACCAGTAAATACGTGGCAAAAAAGATTTCTAGATACGTATTGTAGATGAACGCAGATGTTCCAGATAGTAAAAATTAACTCCGCTTCGGTGGTGGGTGGTGAGATAGTAAATACGAGGTCATCTCGAACAAGCCCTCAAAGTACTTCAGCAATAAATACAATTACAGATAAACAGCAAATGGCGTTTCATCATATTGCTGATGATCTGCGCTCATTTCGTGTTCTGGTTCATATTCGCTGGTATCTGGTACGCGGTGGCGACCTCTTACGCTGACGATATCGGGGACGGCAAAGAACACTGCGTCACCGGTACCTCGTCTTTTGCAGGTCTACTACTCATGACCATAGAGACACAGGTAATGACTAATTCTAAGTTGTCGTCGAGTCACTTTATGGCAAATTTAAGTATAATTTAACATTATTTCATGTCAAGTGTTTATTTATTATTATACTAGCTTTTTCCCGCAACTTCGTCCGCGTGGAATAGTTACTTTGGCATACCGCTAACTTTTACCCGCGACTTCATTTACGTAGAAAGTGAAAATATTTTTGGAAAAATAGAATGTTAGGAGCTATTTAAGGTACCAAAATCGTGCTTTTTAACCGACGCATTTGCAACCGCTGCACATTGCAGCGATTGCGGAACTTATCTTTTGCCTAACAATACGCGTTGCCGCCAATTTTTATTACGCAAATTCCACAGATTTATCGGTTTTTTTTTATCACAGGATGTTGCTCAAAGAAGTATTTCCATAAGCAAGTAATTCGTATTTTTTTAGAAAAATGAATAATTAATAATTCTTGTTAGTTGCCAATAGATGGCGTTAGCAATAAATAAGATATGAGGAAAAGTTGTGGTTCGTAATAGGCAATACTTTAAATGATTCACGTAAAAGCGTTTTCACAATAAAGTAGTATTGACATCAAAAAACCCCCAAGACTTTGATTGAGATGCTTATGGTGACTGCCAGCATAGTTTGAACAACGACACTTTCGTTCTTTCGACACGATCACACAGGGCGCTTTACTCATTAGTAAAACCGTTTCAAAGCTCACTAATTACTCTCCTTAAATGACAATCCCTAATAGATATGACGGCAGAAAGCAGAAGTACGTGATTGAAGAGAAGAAACTGGACGCGACAGAGCCTGTTGATACTCCATACTGTAGTGCCAAGGAATTACACAGGTAAATAAGCATGCAAGAGTTTATGTACTAATTCTTTGGTAATTTAATCATTTCTCTAAGCCCACCTGGTGTTACTGGAACCCTAAAGACATCTACAACGTAAATGCGGCACCCATTTTGAGATATAAGTTATAAGATCTCAGTATAGTTACAACGGCTGCCCCATCCTTCAAACCAAAACGCATTACTGCTTCACGGCAGAAATAGGCAGGGCGGTGGTACCTACCCGCGCGGACTCACAAGAGGTCCTATCACTAGTGAAAAGTGGTGGTTAAGAGACGTTGCTTATTTGGTAATTAATCTTTTTTCACTTACCTAATCGATGATAGTCTAAGGGGCTATTAAATACGGACTGCGTTTTATTTTTAAATAATCAACACAATCGTAAATTAAAAGAACTTATTGACCAGTCGTTACATTTTAACAAAAAACTTATAGACGAATTCGAAAAAGTTTAGGCATAAATAGTGAAACCTTGTAAGAAATTATTATTGCGAAAAACAAAATTAAATATGAACTAAAGTGTTTATGTATTAATACGTGAAGCAGAAACTTTGTACCCCTTTTTACAAAAATTGCGCGATGTGAGGAGTATAACATTTCTTACACTTATAGAGAATATAGAAAAGGAATGCAGAATACAATTTTTTTTTTATTATGCACTAGACGATGACCGAGCTTTGCTTGGTTTTTTTTTTGATAACGCCATCTTGGTTAGTTGCCCTCAATTAAGATAAATAGTATTATTATTTGCCAATAGATGTCGGGAAGGGTTGATTATAATTGAAAACACGAATAAAATAACATTTTCTGAAAATAAATCGTAGCTAGATCGATTTATCACCCCCGAAATTCCCTGTATACTAAATTTTATGAAAATAGTTGGAGCCGTTTCCTAGATTCAGAATATATATATATATATACTAGCGGACCCGGCCACACGTTGCTGTGGCTGTGGCTTAGGTTTTTGTTTCTAAATAACTCGCGGCCGCCTATGCTAATACCAAAAATTGACAACGTAAGAACAATTGGATTTCACTGTATTGCGTTTAGTACGAAATAAATTTCACTTATACTTTAGCCTCAGAAACACGTGGTGCTTATGCTATTAAATTGTAGCTTATGTGAAACGTTGGTATTTTAGCACAGCGCCATCTATGAGATATTAAAGTCACAGTATAACAATTGTCTGTAAAAACTGATTTAAGGCGCCATCTGTTTTAGACTTATGAAACTTACAATTAATAACAAAAATCAACATAAGAAATCATTTTATTGTTAATTAATAAATATTGCGACCATTCATCGAAATAAAAACCATCCTATCTCTCAAGTTGNCGCCATCTATGAGATATTAAAGTCACAGTATAACAATTGTCTGTAAAAACTGATTTAAGGCGCCATCTGTTTTAGACTTATGAAACTTACAATTAATAACAAAAATCAACATAAGAAATCATTTTATTGTTAATTAATAAATATTGCGACCATTCATCGAAATAAAAACCATCCTATCTCTCAAGTTGGATCGAACTGCACATGGTGTGTGAATTTTATTATAATCGGTTAAGTGGTTTAGGAGTCCATTGAGGACAAACATTGTGACACGAGATTTATATATATTAAGATATATATTAATATACAAGAATTGCTCGTTTAAAGGTATAATAAAAAAAACATTAAATCGATAAAGAAAACATTACACACGCTACCATGTATTTTACACACACACACATACTATATATTTATTGTTAAAGTCTGGTCAAATTGAGTATAGATTAATATTGTTTGTCCTTAATATTATTTGTCTATAGTGTAGTCTTGGCGAAATAGAACCATGATAATCTTTAAACTTATTATTTCAATTAATTATGGTCGATTTCAACTACAGAGGGACCATTAGTTTAATTAAAGACAACAATAAAAAAATCTCTCTAAAACTTGTTCTTTCTGCAGTCCGAGTCATCGTAGGGCCCGAATTGGCTAATTCCAATCTGAGTTCTCACGGAAGTTTACTTTCTGATAAGCAGACGGTTCTACAGTCCGAAATTGAGTGATTATACATAGACGACACATCATGACACGGTTTTAATACGGTTGCCCAAGAGTTTGAAGCATCTATCTTTTTTCTAGTAGAAATAGATCGTACAGTTACGCATTTTCTTCATATTATCCCACTAGGTGGGGTCGGCACAGCCAATTTTTCTCTTCCATTCTCTTCTATCAGCCGTCAGGTCAACACTCACTCCTCTCTCTCTAATTTCATCATTTACACACTCCATCCATGTCTTCTTCGGTCGACCTCTTTCTTCTCCCTGTAGCTTGCGCTACGATTTCCATACATCTCCTAGTCACATGCATCTCAGTATTATTACGTATACTGTACTCAAATTCCATTTAACTATACGCATACTCTGCGGATCAGTAAGCGTTCGTGAACACACGTACACATGAACTTACTGGTGGTAGGACCTCTTGTGAGTTTACTGGTGGTAGGACTTCTTGTGAGTCCGCACGGATACGTACCACCACCCCACCTATTTCTGCCGTGATGCAGTAATGTGTTTCGGTTTGAAGGGTGGGGCAGCCGTTGTAACTATACTGAGACCTTAGAACTTATATCTCAAGGTGGGTGGCGCATTTACGTTGTAAATGTCTATGAGCTCTAGTAACCACTTAACACCAGGTGGGCTGTGAGCTCGTCCACTCATCTAAACAATAAAAAAGTCCATGTTATCATCACCTCGTCACAAGGCAGTCACAAAGTGTCCTTCGATTTTCACCAAACTAACGAAAACAAAAGATATTAGCAAACATTTACGAAACATTTATCTCATTCCAGTACATCGAAGGATAGCTGCTCGACCCCACGCCCGTGTACTCCAAGCTCCTTCTGCGAAAAGATCTCTGCATTCCAACTGGAAAGATCATCGTCTTTCAGAAAGAAGACCACGGCATCATGATATTTAGCGATAATTAGTTTCTGTTCAGTGTGAAAAAAGAGATATTCGATAGTATTTTCTAAGATTTTCACAAGGCATATTGTGAACGATCATAGTTAGGGTAGCTTATGGCTTCCCACGGGTCGCTATTACCATTATCAAATACACACTATGGATCAAATTGTCTTATAATTTTGTGATGCGATCATATTTCACCTTTGGCTTGGAATTACTGGTGGTAAGACCTCTTGTGAGTCCGCACGGGTAGGTACCACCGCCCTGCCTATTTCTACCGTGAAGCAGTAATGCGTTGAAGGGTGGGGCAGCCGTTGTACTGTAAAAACTGAGACTTTAGTACTCACGTCTCAAGGTAAGTGGTGGCATTTACTTTGTAGATGTCTATGGGCTCCGCTAACCACTTAACATCAGATGGGTCGTGAGCTCATCCACCCACACAAGCAATTAAAAAAAAAAACAAAAAAACAACCAATAAGTAATTAAATAATACTTAATTGTTCATTTCCTCATATTCTATCAGTGAAGATTCTCAATTGTCTGCCTGTTTATAAATAAAATGTTTGCTTGATGAAGAAGTGATGTTCTCATTAACCGCACACAATATGACCCGCCGCTATAACCGTTATTAGTTGTAAGTTAGAGGCCTGGCACATAAATCTATGTTTTTATTTTCATTAATTTATAAAACATGTATACATAAGTACGATGAATTATTGATCAGCTTACATTTTATGAGGCATCGATTTTATTAACGACTAGCTGACCCGGCAGACTTCGTAGTGCCTCAATCGATAAATAAAATAAACTTAAAACAAACAAAAAGAAACCGTCCGACGGGGGACACATCAAAGGAAAAACAAAATTGTTATTTTTATTTAATTTCGGGCATTTTCATATTTATCTACCTTTTAAACCTTCTCTGGATTTCCACAAATAATTCAAGACCAAAATTAGCCAAATCGGTCCAGCCGTTCTCGAGTTTTAGCGAGACTAACGAACAGCAATTCATTTTTATATATATAGATGACGGCTGCATTTAAACAAATGCCCAACTACTAGTGTACATTACTGAAACTCAAAAAATATACCGAGTAGATGGATGTCAATGCTCCATCAAGATTCTAGGCCATCATTCCATCAAAACAGGAGTATGTGTNATGGATGTCAATGCTCCATCAAGATTCTAGGCCATCATTCCATCAAAACAG